AAAGATTTAAATTGGCACTTGAGTTTGGATTTGTTGATGTCTGGAGGGAATTAAACACCAATGTAAAGGATTATCCCCATTACTCTGCGCCCATTAAAAGTTATTCCAGAACTGACTACCTTTTCATGAATACATCTGATAAGGTAAAGGAACGTAAAGCAGAAGAAACCAGTATATCTGACCATTCTTCACTAAAACTAAGTTTATCTTCTGGAAGACACAAAACAGCATGGCGACTAAATGTAGGCTTGTTGAACTCCAAAACAATCAAAGCTGAAATTTCCCACGATATAAAAACTTACATAGAAGAGAACAATGATGGACAGGTTAATCCGGTGATATTATGGGATGCACAGTATTAAGAGGAAAATTGATCTGAAAAACTGCGGCCTTTAAGAAATCCAGAGTGGATGCCTATGAAAAAGAAAGAGCTCAACGAACAGATCTGGAAAAACAACATAAATTAACCCAAAATCCCAACCTGTTTATAAAAATAAAAGAACTAAGAAACAACATTGACAAAATGCTTACATATGAAATTGAAAAGAAATCAAAGTTTATTAAACAATCATATCATGAGGAGGGATCTCAAGGAACGAAACTGTCAGCAAAGAACTGAAAAAGCAACAATAGAAATATCTATAAATTAAATGATGATGAAACAAATCAAATGAACGAGCAACAGGTTTGGGACATACAGCCAGAGATTATACAGCCAACCTCCCTCTGCTAAAGATGGACAGATGGAAACCTTCCTAGAGTCACTGGACCTGCCCTCAGTTGGAGAAACCCAAAACAAACTGCTCCCCTCCTAAATACCAAGAACAGAAATACAAAAGAGCAGATCAGCCATGCTGGAGCACTTAATGTTAATCAGCATATTTTCTGGCTTTGCCCCAGAATTACACGGTTCTGGAAGGAAATGCACAATAAGACTGAAACAGTATTGGGTTACTAATACCCAAGTCCGGTCTGGCTCTATGCCTTGGTCTTTTGGACAATATTGTACTTAATAATGACTGTTTGTTAAAAGTTCTGTTGGTGGCAGCCAAAACGGTGACAACCAGAAAGTGGTGCAAATCTGAACGTCCTCCCACGAAGGAGTGGATACAGACTGAACTCATTATGAGAGATGGAGATTCTAACACAGACTGAGGACACAGGAACAGCAAAGCCTGGACAAATGGACTCATTTTGGATATGAATGGGCCCCTTGTGTTTTGTCTTACTAAAATAAGAGTCTCCCGCTGGTGTGTGATTTTTGGTTCGATTGTTCTGTAATTTTTGTCTTTTATAATTTCTATGTATTGTTTGACCTTTCTTCTTGAGTGTACTCTAATAACATCAACAAAAATAAAAATAAAGTTATAAAAAAACAGGATCTGGGTTCGTCTTTGGTCGAAATCACTTCCTGTGTTCAGTTTTAATACAGCAGCTAAAAGCAGAGGTGGATTTTAGAGAGAACGAGCAGATGGTTAGTTACCATGGCAACGCAAGGAAAGCGGGAAGCTTAGAGAAGACGATCACTTTGTGTTCATCAAACATTCCCTACTAAAACATCGCAGTTTTGTTCTAATTTACTTTTGAAATGTGGACAGACGGCCGCAAAAAAATCTGTCCAGGGTCCACAGACGGCCCCCGACCCCCACTTTGAACACCCCTGGTCCAAAGCATCCCATAGTAACTCCCAGAGGCTGATTGTTGCTCTGGACTTTATTCAGGTAAATCAGAGTAAAAGAGAGCTGAACACAAATGCATGCCACACTTTTCAGATTTTTACATGGCCATCATGCACCCATGTCCCAGTCAGCTCAGACTGGGTGAATCAGGGTAAACTGGTTTCCAGTGGGTGAAACTGAAACTGGGTCGCTGCCTCTGCCAGGAGTCAGACTGTGTCAAAATGTGACGCCCTCTAGAGGTGACACAGCGAAGCTCCGTGAAAAAAATGAAATAAAAATCACAGTTGCCATGGCAACAACATCACAAAAAGGACAGCAGAGAGGGGCTGCTGTACAGTAGATTTGTTCTGCTTCTGGGAGGAAGAATGACAAATCTTTGTCCTTTTTTTGGGTTTGAGATCAGAACCGGAGGAACGGATCCGATCAGAACCGACGCGATGATGTCACACAATTATAACCTGCAGAAACCAGCAGCAGAACGTCTGAAACCCTGAAGCTGCAGCAGGTGCTGCTGCTGCGTCACAGATAACAAACGTCCCGTTTATTTCAGAGGAACCGCCTCCCTCCGAAGTGAAACGTTAACCTTTAAGAGCAAACAGCAGACGGATCCGTGAGGCGGCGGCTTCAGTTCAGGCAGAATAATCTGAATATTTTACTGCAAACTGTTTAACAATCAGCTGATCGTCAATAATCTGGATTTATTTCAACCGTTCTTTACCAGAATCTTTCCCCAAATATCTTTGACACATTTCTGCTAATGCACTCATAGCTTGTTGTTAGCTTAGCGCTTCAGCTAATGTTGAAAACCGTTAGCTTACCCCAAGTTAATTTTTCCTGATAAATCATAGATTGATAATTTACCTCTGCTTTGACAACAAAAACTGAACAGTGGTTCAGTCTTTCTTTTCGACTGTCATTTATATTCACGCTCTTATTTTGAAGAAACTGTCTACGTAGTTCTGTTTTCTCTCACATCTTCTCAATTTAGCTTTTAAACTTGACATTAAGGAGTAAATGGACCGAAATGTATGATTCAAGATAAGAATATGTAAAAATGATTTTCTTGGAGACATTCTGCAGGATATCATATTTTCAGAATAAAAGACCTTTTGCTCTACTTGCTGCTCATTGCAGCCATAACACAGCGCAGCCTGGCCGCTTCGCTCCAAACCAGCAGATAGAAACGCCTCATTCAAATGGTTTGTTTCCTGACATTTTACCTCAAAATTCATGTGACTGTTGGATGGAAACAGTTTAAAAAACAATTTAAAACATAAAGACGTGGCATGTGTGATTTTGACCGCATCACTTATTTAATGGAAACACCGGAAATGCCAAGTCTGTTTTCTCTACATTAGTGGAAACCTGAAAACGTTTTGCACATTTATGATGGAGACGCAGCAACAGGATGGACCAGGATCTGCTCCACACCTTGGAGGGAAAAGCAGGAGGCTTTGCTCCTGGGACCATGAAGCTGTGAAGCATCAGAACCGGGCCCAGCTGGGACCGTTTGGACTCAGCTGATCCGCTGTCATGCCATGTTTTATTTAATCTGGTTCACAGAAAAACCCAAAGACATAAAAGTGTCTGAAACACAGAGACGTTACAAATCTGAGGCTCAGACGGACTTGCAAAGCTAATAACGCCAAACCTCTGTGTGTGTGTGTGTGTGTGTGTGTGAATGACGGAGGACAGAGCAGGATGTCAAACAGAGACCTGAGCCATCAGACGCGGAGCGCCATGCGACGCTTCCCGTCAGGACAGGACGGGTTTCACCTTTATTTATTCAGCCGCCGCTAAACTCAGGTAGCAAATTACAGGAGAGCAAATTAATTTGAGGCGTGAAGGAAACCGATTAAAGGTGAGAGAGGAGGCTGATGTGGCGGCGGGCGTCACGCCACGCTTGTTCAATTTGACCGACAGAGAGCGGCTCACGCTCTGATTCGATTCAGCAGCAAGGGCGTCTTCTTCACGCCGTCTCCTGATCGCTTAGTCATGTCTGGGTCTCAGCGTCCGGCTGACCCTTTCCTGGACAAAACCACATACAGAAGGGGTCCAAAGTGAGGTCCGGGGGCCATTTTGGCCCTAGGATTGATTCATGGGTGTACCAGAAACACACAAACAAGGTTCCCACTGGAACTTTAATATGGAAAAAAACTGAAGAAAATGTAAGAAAATCAGTACAAGTTGATGTTTTTAAAGTGAAACCATGTGGAAAGTCCGTTTCCTTTTTACAGATTACTGCCGTGTGAATTTATTAACATAAAACATAAAACAAACTCAACTACAGCAAAAACAGGATTTATGTTTTTTAACCTCTTCTAATCATGAGGAGGAAAGAAAGGCAGAGATAAACGAACCGTCTATGTTCCTGCTGATGTTAGAGCTGTTGTTCTAACACACACACACACACACACACACACACACACGCATGCACACCACACACACACACACACACACACGCACCCCTACACACCACACATACATCACACACACAGACACACACACCATACTCCACTCACACAC